GAATCCTTTAACAAATATATCTTACCGAAAAAACCCCCCCCCCCCCCATTGCAAGATCGAGAATGTATACCTGGTGCGGCTGTAAAACAGGCAGAATGTCCCTAATACTCGCCAATGGCGGCGGTAATAATTGACCAAGCGCCATTATATTGACGAGCGAGACACCTTCCTCCGTATTCCAATTAGCCATCACGGTTGCGGTGATGCCTCTCAGTAAAACGGAACAATATGCTAACGCCGGTCTGTACCAAGCAGTTAATTCTAGCAACGTCCATAGTAGAGGTACATCCTTAAACTTGCGACGAATTTGCAAATCCCTCTCTATTGTCACCTGTCACACAATTGAAATCGTTATTTTATTGTATTGTAACAAACGGCTTAATAGAAGGTTTCAGCTGAATAATGAGAATTACCTTTGTAAACTCTTCATCAGGCCATGGAAGGCCATTGTACATAACGTCAGGAGACACTAATTCGACCAACAACAAGCTAACCATTGTCAGAGCATCCAAGTTGACAGGATATCGATCTGACTCCTGGTTGCTGCAACAAGCCTAAAAAAATATTCAAACTGAAAGTTAGGCTGTTTAACGCGATACTCGTCAGTCTATTAGAAGCATATGATAAATTGCTTTGTCGAATTTCTCTTTACCTTTATGACATCCATTAATAACATTTTGTTTAAAGCTAAAGTTTCCTTATCGACCGAATTCTCCGGAGGTAGTCTCCGCGGACCGTGTCCTATTACACCGGCATGAAATACCGATGAATGTCGCTGTGCTAACATGGTGCTCGTCACCTGCGAATGAAATCATTTAAATTCTACGTATATTCATATATCAAATCAATTCGATATTAATGAGATATTGTAACAAATACGAAACATGTACTTTTTTCGAAACATATCTTTCGTACGTTTTATAAGATATATTTTTTAAATCATATTTATACTCTGTATACATATACACACACCTGTTTATGATTCTGTTTATGTAACAATAACGGCTCCTCGAAACGGGGCTCAAATTTCTCCTTTGCTCCAAAGTGCTTTGCCTGCTCATTATCGATACTGTTCTCTAATATTTCTCTGAGCGCCAATACTCGAGCGCAAGGAGAATAACATGTTAAATCCTTCAATAAGTGACAAACCATCTTCACTCCTTGTTCCTTTTTTATGATATCTAAGTGGAACAAAGTGAATTATCTTGTACATTGTTACTTAGAGAAATGAAAGACTTTAGACAGTTTTATTTACCTGTTTGTGCAATGCACAAGAAGAAATACTGGATGACTGCTCTCGTCAATTTCAGTACGAGTTCCATATTGAGAATATAATCTTTCTCGGGCGTGCTTAACAGATCCAACAGAGTAACGATATCGTTCGCCAAGTCAAAGTTGTCGGTTTTCGTCAACAAAGAAGATATTTGATACAAATTAGATCTGAGAGCTCTAGCAATCATTTTCGACTGTAATATCGGCGCCTTATTCGATTTTTCCCACCTAAATGAAATATAAAAAAAGAGATTATAATTATTATATTAAACTATATATAAAAAATATACATAATTATCGGAAATATTATTGGCACTTGCTTTAACATTATAGTAAGATTTTTAAATAACTGTCGCGACTCTTCCTCATTTATGACATTTTTATAGTATATCTCTCTAAGCGCTTGCTCTAAGATCTGTGTAAGATAATCGTGACCAGCAAGGATATTTTCAGTTCCAGATTTGTTCGCAGGAAACAATACGATGTTGTTAGTGATAAGACGTATCAGGGCTGCCAGATGAAACGTCGTTGGCGCCTTCACCAGCATGTGGGACGCCATAGAAACGACTATGTTTGGACTTTGACTTCTCAGAAAGCACAACAGTCTAACAGCCGTTTGCACGCGTAATGGATTAGGATTCAATAACATTGGCACTATCAGCGATATCTCCTGTTTGATAGAACTCAGGAGAGCGATATTGGCGGACTGCGGTCCGTGCGTTCTCAACAGAAGATCTATTTCTTGTAAAATCAGTTCTAGTAACTCCCGACAAATGTTTTTCACACTTTGCGCCGCGTTAACACTGTGATAGCCGACGTTGCTCGTGTTTAGACTCGTATCTAGCAGTATATTGATTATTTGCGATGCACCCTGCTCGCATCCTAACGCCAAGTGCACTGTCAAGTCTATTAATGCTGCTGGTTGATTGTCAAAGTATTTACACCAATCTGCTGCGAATAATGCCAGACGCGGTATGACATCGGGTCTCACTATAATAAAATTTATATAGTTGATATAATTCACCATAAAAAATATAATTTTTACTAGAGACTTACATGTCTGTAACACATTGCTGGTCATCGCTTTCAAAAGAGTCTGCGAAAGTGAAGCTAAATTCAAAAGAAACGGTACCGTGGCTAATTTTTGCTTTTTAATATCCTCATCAAAATTCACATCTTCGTCTAAGCTCCACTATAAAAATTATTGCAAGTATATTAATAAATTTTTAAATCAAATATAATATATGCCTGCTTATTTTTAGCAACAACACTCGACATAATCTATCGGAACTTGCCTCGAACAAATCTAGCAGTGCTTTTCTAATATCTTGAAAATGACTACCCGCCAAATGTCCCAATATGCCAACAACGGAATTCAACTTTGGATTTTTAACATTATGTTCATAGCCCATGGCGCAAAAGTCTTTCAATCCACACGATAGCACCCTGGTAATCACAGTATTTGGAAAACAGCTTCCTACATGAGCAACCACCCAATCAAAATATGGGCTATGTAGCACACTGGTATCTAACAATGCCTTGATACATGACTCTGTGTCAGAGTGCATAAGGCATTGTAAACATTGTGCCGTAATGTCTATCAGAGTTCGCGTTGCACGGCATGACATCCATTGCTGTAGAAAATCATTGATCCCAGCATCAACGGGCAAATTGCGACGTTTTGAATAATCAGAGGATACTTTGCCTGTAAAAAAAATATGTCATTTAAAATTGTATTTCTCTTCTGTCCGACTGTACATCAAATATATACCGAGTAAGTCCAACGACCATGCTGATATAATAGGAGCCCACGCTTCTGGGTTTCCATTTATGAAACTGCTCAGAACAGCGTGAATCTCTGCTATAATGCTCTCTTCAGGTATTAATATATTTTGATTTGTCTGCAAAAATTATAATTTATATTATTATTACATATTATTGTTCATATCACATGTGAATGAAATGTGTTGCTGACATACCTCGATCTGACGAACATATTTTGACACTGCGGTGAAGAATACATTGCAAAAATATTCGAGTACGGCGTCCCTTGCCGCGGGTACATTTTTCAGAAGAAATAACGCCGTACGTGTCACATCTTGCGTGTTTGCGCTATGAGAAGACCTAGATACGGCACCGGAGATAAATTTTCTAACCTCGGTCAGAATGTCCTGAGGCGACAATGTCGTTGTATTGTGCAGCATTCTCGAATCATTTATAATAATGCTTCAATTATAAGACATCGGCCAATTATATTCGTATCTCCGATTAATTTGATCGAGTTAAATTCATCATATGGCCATATTAAAAATAACGTGGCCTTCTCGATTAAGAGGTTATGTTGTAATAGACATATATACAGGGTGTTTAAAAAATCTATATCTATACTTTAGCGTAGAAGAAAATTAACAATTTATTTTTTTTGCGGGACAATTTTTATTTACAAAATCCATTAATAACTCTTTCACTTCATTCTTATATCTTAACTATTTTTTTTTATAAAAATATAAAATAATTATATTAATTATATACGCACACAAAAATAATAGGAATAGAGTACAATATGCGGGATATATAAGATTAAAAACATATATTTAAGAAATTAATATTATAAAATTTCTTTCAACACTAACTTATATATATATTTCAGATATATATAACGCGGAAGGAATTATGTATTCTTGAGAGTGAAAAGCCAGTCTTCAAATGGTCATAAAATGTAAGTATACAAATGTAAAAATAGATAAATTAGAGAATGTAAAACTTGATCGTTGCAGAAAGAATGTCTTAACGCCTCTTCTTCTTCTCTTGCTTGCGTGGTCGGTGAGGTCTTCTTGGTGTTACTTGAGGACTGTTTTCAGAACATTCTACATCACTTGGATCATCCTGCAATTGTAACAATTATTGCAGTAGGCATAAAGAAGAAATTACATCCTTAACAATCTGACATAATCACAAGATGATACCTTCAAAGCTGCCACACCATCGGATGGACCTGCCTGATATATCACTATAGACAACAAGCATATAATTTGGAATACTGCACCAAGATAGAGGCCAAATCTCAACAATTGCTCAAACAGAGTTTCCTCTGCTGGCAGTAAAAGGCGTTTGAACTGTGGATCTGTATCCGCCATTTCTGGAAAAAATATAAGTTAAATTATAACTTTCACTTATACTATAGAGATGAGGTAAAAAGTTTATTATATACTAAAGAAGATAATATATTTATAAGTTATGTTTAAATTCGAAGAAATGTATAAAATGATTATTCTTCATTGAACAAATTGCAATATGTATTGTTATAATTTGTTATATCTGTTACTTTAACTATATCGAAATATCATATGTCGTTCGAACAGAATCGCGGACGCATTCGTAATGATTCGAAATATCTCGTTCATTCTTGAATTCAATTTCAAAACTCTTAACGCACTATTATTTTTTTCCGTGTTCTCTTTATCCCCAACGATATTCCATTCTCTTATCCCGTATTCTTTCTTTTCTCGCCTAAGGGATCTCTCGCGGTTCTTTCGAACGATCAACCATATCTCGCCAATTGCCAACAAGGACAATTTCCGATTGACAATGATACCTGCTCAATCGCGTCGGTACATGGTGTTCCGCTATTGTTTATGGGTGTTAGAGATATATATATATATATGTGTGAAGGAAGGGCGAGGAAATCAATAACAAGCGACCGGCGACGATCGCCGCGTTTCGCGCGAAGCGACAAATAGTGCCATCATTACGATGCGCTCCGCTCTTTTTCGGCAACTGTCATCGTCGCCGACAATCGCGACGTATTTTGTAGAACGACGATAGCAATTCGATTTTTTTTTCACGATCAGCGAAGTACATACGTACAATCGGAGTCGCGGTTGCGCTCTCTCCGCTTACGCGCCGAATTCAGCCGAATACACTCGGCTCGGTTCGGCTCGTCATCTCCCCCTCTCCCCTTCCCCTTAATGTTGATAGCGCATGGCGATCGTACCTGCCGCACTCGCCGCCGGATGGCGCTACGCGCGAACGTCGCGACATCTACCAGCGACTGCGAGTAGGCTTAGCCAGCTGGAGCATCTGTCATCGACTTGAATTTACACGCGAAAGATTTCATTTTATTTCGTTGTTCGTCGCGCGCGCGCGCGTCTGGGATCTTGAATTTTTATCGCGCTAGCCTAGAGTTTCGTAAATCGTAATTTTTGACGAAAGAACGACGTCGAAGTTGAGACGACACGGAAATATCGCGCATGGGCGGATCCGACCGATTCGAATCTCGCGCGGCGCGACGAAAGCGCCGGAAAGCGAGCTGGGTTCGAGGCTCGCTCGCTCGCAAGTCCGTGGATGTGAACCTTTGTTTTGTACATTTGCACAAAAGTAATGGCTACCACATCTAGTTTTCGAGTAATGTTTTCCGCGGAGAGCCCGGATTCCCGTGTTTATCGCGGTATTTAATAACGCAAGATCGGCTTGCGCAACGCATCGGCGTCGGCCGAGATGCGTGCGGTATCTATACACGAGCTGTTTCGACTGCCTTAGTGTCATTTTCGTCGAAAAATGCCTGTGTTTACATCCGAATTGCGACCGAGCTTCTGTGTTCCTGTCACATTAAGGTAAGCGACGCTTTCGCGGATCATAAATGTCCGGCAGTGCGACGGGGTCCGGATCGCGAGAGCTCGTCCGTGGAAACGCGACCGAGTAGATATTCATCGGCGACACATACTCGTCTTCGTCGGCGACGACGACGACGACGACGACGATAATCGTCGTCGTTGCTCGTCCTCGTACTACTCGACCTGGTGTATGCATGTTTAAAACCGCGAGTTTTGCGCTTTGTCTGTTCCCGCGACCGAGAAATCGCGCGAGTGTCCGCGAAATCGTCTCGAGGAAGCGAACGAGTCCGTCGTACTTAACCAAAAAAAAAAGTTTCATCCGCCCGAGGACGAGCTGTGCGACGCGGATCCCGACCTGAGAGAGAAAGAGAGCAACGGGTAAACGTTCGTCGCGTCGTCGAATCGTCCTCGTCGAAACCGCGAGGAATATATCCCGCGGGATATAATCCTGTGCATACGCAATTTTTCGTCCCGGATGGTGGCAACAATGCCTGGTAAAATGGTGAGCGAGGGCAGGTCAAGCACACACATCACATCGGGAAATATTTCGGCTCGCGTTTCCTGCGATCGCGAAATACATTTTCCTCGATCACGACGCGTTCACGTGTTTTTAGACAGTTTTAGAAGAGATAATCCATACATTTTTATCTTTCCCGCACTCTGAGAAAATCTGTTGGATTCTATTATATTGACACACTGTACAATCTGGACTAAATAATCTTTAAATCCCGTATATACATTGCTATAATGTTTGCAATGGTTTGTTGTTTTTTTTTCTTAAGGACACTAGGTGAATAATATTTCTTGACATTCATATACAATTTCATCTGTGTTGTCTTGACATACCTCCAGACAACACAAGTAGATGTTGTTCCTTATATTTATTCCATTTATTCGTTAAATCAAATATTATATTTGTTCACCAGTTGGTTTTAGGTGGTTCTTGTTGAAAATTGATTCTAAATCCAATGGAAGTTTCTTGTGGCAATAATAGAATAAATCAATCATCTAAAATGAAAATGAAACCATTCGCTGTACCTCTCTGGAAGAGATACTTAAGTTTCTTTAAGTAACTATAGGAAGGTAAGGAACAGAACGCAAGAAATATAAATGCCAATGCAGCACGAATGATAACAGTTTATTAGAGTATAAAGCTATTTTACTGCAAAAGCATATGTAGATTCAAATCTATACAAGGACAAATATTTCATTAACAATAAGTTTATTATTGTGATTCAAAATATGTACAAAAATATTTTACATTTTCTTTTCTATAAAATGTGTTAGGCCTCCAAACACATTTGCCCAAGGATTACTATCAGACATTTGTCTTGAATAAAATTTATTATCAACACAAATCAAGGTCAGGATTTAATAACAGCATGTAAATAATCGTTATATTATATTAGAGGACATTCTTTTTACATGAAATATTTTTTTTTTTTTTTTAGACGCAACAATTTCTGGCATTATGTCTTTTTTTCTCTGTTAAATATAAATGTCGGTATTTAAAATTTAAATGACGACATTGTCAATTATAATTTCGCTTGAAAGTCGAGATTTCACGGATCTAACCTAAGCGATTAGAAGAGGCAGCAAAACGACAATCGAAAACTATTTCACGGCGGGAATAGAAAAATGTTGCCAGGCGGCGCTCGTTTCGCTCGATGGCGGCCATATTGCCAATTTGCCCTGCCCGTTCCCCGACCCTCCCTCTCCCCCCGCTCGCACGACTACCCCTCCGCCTCCGCGCGCGCGTGCGATGGCCTCTCACTACCCTCCACCGTCCACCTTTACAGAATCTTTTCACGAGTGCGCGATTCCTCGTACTCTTGTGTCTTCTATTTTCCCTCTCGCCTTCGCCCGTTCTTGCTCTCTCCGCGCCAACTTTCCTCGCTACGAAAGCATATCCTTTAGCGTTAAAATGTGCCCCTTCGTTATATTTAGTGTGTCCTTGCATATATAGAGGATTAGTATGGCAGATGTCGAAACGCGTGAACTATCATATTCATATACATATACACAAACGCGGAGAAATTTCAAGCTTTTTTCCGGCATATGTTCTCTGAACGAGAGAACGGATGATGATACAAAAGATCAGCGCCGTTTGTGATCGCTTTTCATTTTTTTATTATTTTATTCCTTGAAAAATTGAAAATAAATCTCTATAAATTTTTACCGCCTTTCGAGTCTCAAGATCGCGGACAAATCTGTTTAATCGTATCCAAGATTAGGCGAAGAGTAAAGTATCATCTCGCGTGTCTCTCGCGAAATTCGTTCATCTCCCGTTCGCGGTATTTCATTCGGTGTGAGGTTTATCCGCGAAATGTTGGCCACACTCGTTTCATCCACTCCTACCCCGGATTTACATCCGCGCGCAGATCTATATTCCTATTTTTAGACAAGCAGCGCGCACACGCCGGGCCGACTCCGAGCCCCGGTGCCGCGCGATACGCCGGAAGTGAAATATTAAACAAGACGGCGCGCTGTCTATCCGCGCTATAACGCTTAATCACCATTCTAATACCGTCATTGAAGAATTTCAACGATGACAATACTTTTTATTTTTTATTTTTTTTTTAAGAACGACATGATTGACATCACGCGGGGGGCCATAGAAAATTGCTGCAAATTTAATTAACGTCGCGTTAAATGCGTGCTTTAATCGCGATAATCTGCTACGATCTCTACATTTGCAATAATTTTAATAATCTGTCGGATAGATCTCCGCGATAGGCATTGATCTCGCCGCCAAAGTGTGGAAATCGGGAAGTTAATTGGTCGAGAGAGAGAGAGAGAGAGAAATATCTCGCTATCGCTTCGAGGGCATTCGATTAATGCGCTATTGATTTGCTTGACTCTATTACGGCTTGTGCATCCATGCACGAATCAATTATCGATCGGTTTATCCAAACCCATAGGCGTTCTGTTTTCACAGGTACCATGAACGCCAATTTTAACTGTGTTTCACAACAACCGAAACAATCGATTACAGCACTTTTTTGTGCAATGGATCAAAGAGAGAATAGCGAGAGAAATATCTTTAATTGAAATTGTTTTTGTGCGTTCCAGTGAGTTTTATACAAATTTATATCGCTAAATCCTTTTATAATTTTATGATACTAAATACGAAATTTACAGAGCAGAATCAATTTCGAATAGTAACAATTAAAAGTTAAAATATAAAACACAAAATTATATACCCTGTATATTATAGCGATATTGCGGAGATGCTAATTAGATGGATGAACTCATCAAAATTGATTCTAATCGATCCGAACACAAGCGTGATTATATTAGTATCGTTTTTTTTTTTTTTTAAGTCTGGAAATGTGTACAGTGTTATTTGAATATTTTCTGTATCGTCGACAAAATCGTCTATGCGTGGGCGAGCGGTCGACGATGGTGTTCACCGCGAGGTGAAATCGTATCGACCGCGAAGGAAAGGAAGTCGCGCGGACTGAGCGAATGAGCGAGCGACACACATATATAGAGTCAGATTAGACACACTTTGGATTTATTCCCATGCAATTTACGAGAGAATGCACAATAACAATATTATTATTATCGATATTACAATCAGGCAATAATTAATACTATTACCCTCGCGGCCAAGAATATTATTACTAGAGCAATGATATAATAATCTCGCTGTTCGGTGGCTAGAATTTTTCAGCGTACTCTCTGGAGTAATTTATTTTCTTTTCATTTTTGTAAAAAAATAAATTTATAGAGGAGAGTTATTTACAATGCAAAATTAAATATAAAAGTTAAATATAATAAAGATTAATAATTATTAAGTGAATCGACATCTCTCTTTCTCTCTCCATCTCCATCATCTCGACGCCGAGCGTATACGTCAGCAGCAGCGCCCGAAGAAGAGGCGGCCGCGAAGGGCATCGCGTTTCCCCTCACGCGGCTTTAACCTTAACCCGGGCCGTTTCGGGGTGCGATCGATAGGCTGCATTCTCTGCGGTCCGTCATCGACGCTCGACTTGCTGCCGTATGGATCCTAATTGCGGCGCGACGCGATTGACTTTTAAACCCGCGGCACCGTGCATAATTCATGAGTCATGCAAATCCCAATCAGCGCGCGCCCCTTTGCTCCGTTAATCCGATCCCCGCGATTGGACAATTCAACGACCGGACGGAATCGGTCAGGTAGCGGTCACGTGTAGGCGCGTTTCGTGCACGCGCGTCATCTCGGGGGAGCTTGCACGCTTTCAATGAATTTTTTTTTTTTTTTTTCGCGATCTTGTATCTCTTATCATAGCGCGTGACATTTGACGCGAGAGACGGTAGAAGGATCTCGGGAGATGTTATTTTTTTAATTAAGTTTGAGTAATAAACGTAAAGAGAGTAATTTAAAATTTAATTAACACTGGAAAAATTTTACGATTAGCATTCGAATCGAATTGTCATTTAACGATGACATTTTTGTTTTTCCCAAGCGAAGATCGGCTCTACATTCGCCGCATAATTCCTCCCGCTCGCATAATGAAATGGAAGGATGGTGAATCTGCAATTTTTTGCGGATCATCGACCGTCCTCATCAGGGGTCACGATGTCGTGCGAAATCACGACGTCACGACGATAAAGGCTACGAGAGAGCGAGCGGTGCCTCTTCCATCGGTCGATGATTGTTACCGTCGATTATCCCCGCGCGCCGTAAAATATCGGTCGTTTACCCGACGTTTAACGAGATACGGTTTATCGAGGCGACACATCCGATTGTGCAACAGTTGATGTAATTAAAGATTATTATATGGGGCCGATTGTCTTTGACGGAAGATACGTCCGGATGAAAAATCTGTTCAGATAACGATCGTCACACGAGATACTTGACGTGATTCGATTAAGTACTTTCGCACGAATTAATCTCAAGAACTTTTGAAACAGATCGCGATTACTTAGGCTTGATAATTACATCTATCGACATTACCATATCGTTCAAATTTTTTCGACGTATTTTAAAACATTTTAAACAAGTTTGATAAGTGGATGTTATCGTAACTTGTATGCACGAGGATTAATAACTATCTCATCTTGACTAAGAAAGATTCACAAAGACAAGACGGATGTAACATTATATTCGCTATGATAGTGTGTGTGAGTCAGTACAAACAAACACGCGTTATCAGTGATCCGGGCTGTAGAAACATCATAATCCGGATTTTACTAGGGATGTACATCGTTTTAAAATGGCCGCTTTCGATATTTACAATTAAAGCTTTTATCTTTGACGTCGTGCATCTTTGATTAGAGAATTGTAATATTTTCTGTATTAATCTTTACTGACTCTAACAAGAGCATTGAGATAATCCGCAATTTGTTTAATTAATATTTAAAACATATAAACATCTCTTCCTTTTGTTGACCTCTGCATTTTATGCACAATCGCATTTCTCGTTAACATAATCTTCCTTAGAAATTGCGACATGCAATCAACAGAAAACATTTCAAAAGAAAACGCCGTAGATAAAGTTATATTTTTGTTATAAAATTATTTATTAATGACACTTTGCATGTATAATTTACACGATTTATTTAGATATTTGTAAGATATTATTTAATAACATATATTTATTACATATTTATTTAGATATAATAGAATTTAATTAGATATTTATAATTAAATTAAAATTAAAATTGATTGAATTAAAACAAAATTCGAGAATCTCGATATCGAAAGATACGAATGCAGCATCGATACAATAATTGCGCGTTTTTTTACACTGTAAATGTGTAAACTTTCGTTTACGCGTTTGAATGTCGCGAATCGCACGCCATTGATTCGCGCATCAAACTGCAAGGATTCGATGCGTTTCTGCGGAATGACGTCAGCGTGTATTAATGGCGCGTGCAATTCTGACATCACACAGTTTCGTGCCGAGTAATAAGTCGTACGCGGTTTCTGGCACGCGTTTTACGGAACTAACCACGGTGTCGTTATCCCCTGCCCCTTTCTCCATATCTCTCTTTCTCGAATCAATCATATTTTCGTATCGCAAATATCCGATGCGCGTGCGGTTACACATTTATATTGACAATCGATTAATTTTCTATAATAATCCGAATACACATCTGATGTAATATTTATCTGTTAAATTGTTTCATCTCGGATAATATCGGGAGAATATTGTAATCATTATATTGGCCGATAATGCACAAAAGAGCGGCGAAACATACATACGATATTTACATTTTCACCTATATCAGTAATACGCGACGATATCATAACGACCTTTACGATAATAAACACTTTACATGCGAATGCATTTATACATATATTCGTTGTGTGTCCGCGATAACAGAAAAACGCGTTTACGACGCGCTTGTACGCTCGTCCCCGTGCATTCACTCTTTGATGATAACAGCCATAACGTATCTGATTTTTTTCTGACGTTGCATCGAACGTAAAAAATTATTTATGTTCCTAATTAGATTTTACTATGCTTGATATATCTATTTTTTTCTATATAT